CTTCCCTCCCATCTCCCCTCCCATCTCCCCTCCCATCTCCGCTCCCATCTCCCCTTGTATCTCGCCTCTCTTCTCCCTTTATTCCCATCAGGAGCTGGGCCAGGGGGTGAAGGGGGTGTACGTCTCAATCGACATTGACTGTCTCAATCCTGCATTTGCTCCCACCTTGTGCCTCAGCTGTGTGCCTCTCTTCCTCTCTCCCTGCCCTTCCCACCACACGCACATCAGGAGCTGGGAAAAGGAGTGAAGGGGGTGTACGTATCAATCGACATAGACTGCCTCGATCCCGCTTTCGCCCCGGGCGTCTCCCACATTGAGCCGGGCGGTCTCTCCTTCCGGGATGTCATGAACATTCTGCAGAACCTCAAAGGTGAACATTCTCCCAGCATTTTCCAAGAGAACTGTCAGTGAAACTTCACCTTGAGCTGCATGCTGAGCCAGGCGGCCTCTCATTCCGTGACGTCATGAACATTCTGCAGAACCTCAAAGGTGAATATTCTGGTGAACCTTCTCTAAGAGAACTTTCAGTGAGCATTCTCTAGGTGAATTCCCAGTGAAAGTTCATATAAAGATGCACATTGAACCGGGCGGCCTCTCCTTCTGCCCTTACTCCACTCCACGTGTTTTCCCCTTTCACCCCCACCCCCCCTCTCCACGTGTTTGCCCTCAACCCCTTCCTTTTCCCCTCCCATTTTCCCCCCTGCCCCCTCACCCCCTGCCCCCTCGCCCCCTGCCCCCTCGCCCCCTGCTATCCGCCAGGCAATGTGGTGGGCGGGGGGTGTGGTGGAGCTGAACCCGCAGTGCGACACAGCGGGTGGAATGACAGCCATGGTTGCTCACGCTACAGCACCCCTTCCTCACCGCCCCACTCCCAACCCCTCTCTCTGCACCCCCTCCCTTCCCCACCAGGCAACGTGGTTGCGGGGGATGTGGTGGAGCTGAACCCGCAGCGCATGTGACCCCACCCACACCCTCTCATATAGCAACCCCCCCTTTACCTCTCTCCGCCCCCCCCCCTTCTTGTCCCTAGGCAAAGTGGTGGCGGGTGATGTGGTGGAGCTGAACCCGCAGCGCGACACAGTGGATGGAATGACAGCCATGGTTGCTGCCACTGCAGCACTCCTTCGTCCCCCCTCTGCACCCCCTCCCTGGTGGAGTTGAACCCGCAGTGCATGTTTCTCTAGGTATTATTATCCCTTCTCGCCGAACACACCCTTCTCTCCCCCTCTTTCCCGTCCCTCTCCCCCGCAGGCAATGTGGTGGCAGGCGACGTGGTGGAGCTGAACCCGCAGCGCGACACGGTGGACGGCATGACAGCCATGGTTGCTGCCAAGTTTGTTCGCGAGCTTGCTGCTCGCATCTCCAAGTAACGGCCGTTGGTGCCTGTTCTTCCGAGTTGTAGCCACTGCCATGCGTGGGTAACTGTGACATATGGTATTTGAACTAAGATTAACACTGAGTGCAGTAAGTCATGAAACGTGCTATGAAGCGTGGGTAACCGTGATATATGTGGTTAAGTCAAGGTTCCTAAAATAAGTACCTATTTTATCATCATTTCCAGCTGCCATAGGAGCAATTGATTTCCTTTTGTTACCGATGAGTTTGCCATGCTTCTCTCCTAACAGTCGTCAAACCAAGTCACAATTTCCTGTTCAAATAAGCTTGTTGACAATTGGAAAGCATACACTTAACAAAATACTGTACCGTAAACGTATTGGATGTCATGCTACCTTACTTGTGCAAGATATCTTGTAATGAAAGATACTGCATAGTCGCGTCACAGTGCAAGGGTGCACTCACCTCCGACCGAAGATCTTTGTTCTGATACGGAGACCCCACAGTACCCCGCCCAGTTGACATGGTTTGCAACGTTGTCCCTTCAAGCCCACGCCATTGGTCCCCTTGTTCCACCGTGTCGTGCCCAGCAGCATCATGGGTTGAAAGTGTGGAGCAACTCGCGCAACTTCGCAAGCACAAGAAACCCCAAACAAACCTCCCCCACCGTGAAAACAATTCCCGTGCTTTCTGTACACACTGTACACTACACAGTGCAGGTGCTGGGGTGGTGAGAAGTTTGTTCGATGGCTGGCGTTCGGTCGAAAATCTTGTGCCTCCCTGGTTATATAATCCTTGAAGGCTTCGACCGGCAGAAATGGATTAGCGATTGGACTGACGAGTCGTTTGTGATGGTGTCTGAGAGAGTCACGTCTGTACCGGGTAGCCCTTCACGTTGCTGCCGTTTAATTCGAGTTAACAATAATACTACACTTATCCTTTTCAAATCGAAGCATCCCTCCTGCGTACACCACCGCCTTTCTGTGATTCTGTGTACTGTTGTACACCCTAATGCTCACTCAACCGTACACTCTGAACATGACCCTTGCCACTCCATACGCCCAGTGGTCGACATTCACAGCCAACGGCCCGCGCGTTACTAGCCCACGACAAAGCTAAGATATTCTTGACCTCGAATAGGTTAATCGAGTTCCCCAGACAAGACACGCTGGGCTACCCAGATACAGTCCCATTCTCCCCGTAGAGAGCACATGCTCGAAAGAGGAGCACAGAGCAATATGGGGAGCGAGACTGAAATGGGCATCAGGTGTATCTCCCACCATCAAAGCGACCTGAAGTTTTTTCCTCAAGGGGATGCACGCGGCATGCCCTTGAGAATCCTCTGCTATCCAGACTAAAGTGTACGATCGAAACTGTTACCACACGTGCTCAGTTCAGCCGTCCATTTTTTCAGATGTATGTAACAGATTGCAGTATGTAACTCCTTGCCCATCGTCTTGCATTCAGCCTGAGCTCTAGGGCGGGCCGTACTACTATTTGAGCCTGTTCTCGAAGCTCTGATTTCGCAGCTTTTGATGGGAAGATTCCCACAGCTACGAGGGGATCGTCTAAGTTCACGTATAGTTGCAAGTTACTCACACATCAGCTGAGCTGAAAAAAGCTTTAGAGCTTTAGCTGAATATCTTCCACTGCTTTTCACTAGTGGCCGGCTTTCACTTCGAGATGAAAAGCCTGACTTCCTCAAGCGCAGAAGCGCAGACAGCACAGTCACTTTCTCCTCGATGCAGTGAAACAGAGCGAAACTATTCACAGCAGGGCTGGTCTTGAGGAGCGTCGAGGAACAGAACACGTCGTGACGTTTGCTGCCGTGAACTGGGAACGCTCGAGATCCGTTCAACCAGACCTCGTTCAGACGAAGCACACTTCCGAAGCACACTCGCGGTCGGTCTAACTTTTGGAGTCCAGAACTAGGTCGACTCCTGTTACCGTCAATAGCTCCGCGGCCAGTGCTCGAGCTTAGACTATCTCCGAGCATTTAACGACGAATCGCCTTCATCATCATGATGACGTCTCCGACTCAACGCGATGGTACTACTATCCTCCTTAACAATGAACTTGCCAATGCTCCAAGGGGCGGCGGTCCGGCTGAGGCTCACGATCATCATCACAATATCCCCCCACCGGACGACACGTTTCAGTCACCGAAACTCACGGAGACGCTTTCGGCGATGGTGCACCGCCAGCGGACCGCGGTGGAAGCGTGGGTACATCAACTGCAGCTCGAAAGCAGCACCAACGGCGGCATTCCGCCCGCATCTCGCGCTGACAAGCGGCTTGACGTCTCCGCGACCGAGTCGGCATCGGTAATGGTCTCTCCCACCGTCGCCAACGCCGCTGTACGAGAAAAACATAAAAATGTCGCCGAATCGGCACAGGATTTCGAGTCGCCAGCCCGTCTCGCCGCTCAAGAGATTCCGGAGCTGCTCGAGCGGTCCGCTGAGGCTGCGCGCTTCGCACAGCTGCAGATTCTCTCCGCTGCGGAAGGAAAAGGCTCCTCTGCGGCGGATGCCGGAGTCGTCGCAAGCGGAAAGTTGCAATTTGCGAGTCCGTCTCCCGCGTTTCCCACGTCGCCATCCATGCCTCGCGATGCGCATTTCGCCGTCGGCAATCCTGTCGCCGCGCCGTCGCACAATCTCGCGGTTACCAGCTCAAGTTGTCGCGCGATGCCGCTTGTCTCGTCGCAAAATTTGCCGTCGGGTTCTGCCCCGAACGCTTCCCCTTCAACCCCGAGTCACCGCATCGGCCAAAATTTCCGTCAGCCCACGCGATTTCACCCACAACCAGCAGCTACCGCCACCGCGAAAGACCTTTGTATGGCTGACACTGAAGTATTTACTACAGGCGCTACTATTAACATCCCGACGATGGAGGTAGACGGAGATGATCTAAATGCGGAAATGTTCGGAATGATTTCTTCGAGAAATGCAACCGGCGCCGGCGCCGGAGGCCCCAGCACTCGTTACGGATCAACTTCTGCCGGATCGCGTGATCATGGTCGACTCAGTCACGATAACGGGAACCACGTGGCCAGCAATGCGACATTCCTGATGGGTGGATCACCATCACAATCTCCGGAAATGACGGAGTGGGCGCAGTCACGATCTGGGGACGAAACCCATCTGGAAGAGTTCCTTCGGGGTATGATGGGTCGGAGTTCGAATCCCCATGCTGGCACAATTTCGGACGGAAATGCTGTTGTTCCCTCTCGGCCGGGCTTCACCATTCCTGTAGCACCTGTGCAAAGATCACATCACATAAGCGGCTTGCAAGCGGAAATCCGCCTGACTCCTGAAATGCCACTGCCAAGTCATGGAGGCTCGGAACCAAACACAATGCTGCTTGTTCCTCAGTCCGCATTGCCAGCTGTGCGCTCAGCCGTGCGGGACAGAGCTCCAAGAGGACACGGCACCGGCTCACTGAATGCATCTGGAGACTCATTGGTTCCTACTGGATCCCCACATGCCGCCAGGTCACCAACTGCCGCGTCTGATTCACCAAATCTCCCTGGATCGCCTTTGGCGGGATCCGCTGGCCTGTCAAGCTCCATGCCGAGGCTTTCAGGCGAAATGGCATTGGCTGCAAGGAGATCAGACAGTAGACGTACCATGTCATTCCCTGGCGAGAATTGCTTTCCTGCAAGCGCAATGCTTGACCGGGAAGCAGAGGCCCTGGTGCAGGAGCTTCTGAGATCGGACTCCAGAAGAGACCTCACAGGCATGATGATTGAGGGAGGTGGGTTGGATGGCAGTGGCTCTGCAGCAGTAGCTGGCGTTGAAGCATCTGCGGGTGTATTCAGTGATGGTGGAGATCCTGTGCTAGGCGCATCCAATTCCAGTGTGAATTTGGCAGGCGGAACACAAGCACAGCAAACTAGTCTGGTGCGTCAGTTACCGGACAGCCCTGCTGAGGGGGATTGGCGACCAAGGACCCGGACACGCTTTGATGCGGAAGCTAAGGAGAGAGGGGTGATAAAACCGAGAAGCATGCGTGAGAGGAGGAGACGAGATAAGATCAGGTAAGATTCTGACTCTCAACGCATGCGGCCAGTTGTTTTTGTTCTTGTTGGTCACCTTTTTCACAAGATTGTGACATATCCTTGCAGTGAGGGATTGCAACAGCTGCGGCGGACACTACCAGCAGGAGCAGTGGGACCACAAATAGACACCGCCGCAATGATTGATGTGGCCATTTCCCATATCACTAATCTCCAGGTAAGAAGGCCCCTAATTTCCTGTTTAGGTTATGTTTGCTGCCTGCAGTATCTCATTGTCATATTTTCCTTATGTGCAGTCTCAGATAAACAGCCTGGAGAGTGCGCTTCTGGTGCAGAGCATGATGGAGCAGAGGGCTAATCACAAATATCCCAGAAGCGAATATAGTCGTGGTAATGGAAAGCTGTTGTAGCCCATTAACTCCTCTCACTGAAGAAGGCCCTTGATCTCCATTGGGGTTCATTGAGCTGCTTTGACTGTAATTAATTTATATAAATGATTTCATTGCACTCCGTAAGTGCACTACTCGAAGAACATGGACCACAAATCAACCGACGTCAGTCCTACGAACGTATACGTAACCAGGAATCCACCAATGTGCACCAGGAAGACATTTCCTCAACAAGACTGCTGACGTGGGAGAAGCGGAAACTGGACACGTACATTTCGTTCCTGGGCCGACATTATCGAGGACACTAATTCAGTCGTGAAAATTTTGCCTTCCCGCAGCCCACAGACACTGCCAATAGAGATGGGCTCCTGAGACTATATGTCCTGCGTTACTGACAGCAATGCGCCGCCTTAGTTTCTCTGATCGGATGCGAGTTTAGGCGGCAGACGTTGCAAATGGCGCCCGGTGCGCTTGAGCTCGTTCCGTTCTTTCAGGCTTGTCCCTTAGCCTGTTGAATAGGCAAGCCATTGTATCCTTTTGGCCCTTCGGAAACGGCAGGTTGTGAGGAAAGAGCGGGATTTGAAGAGAAAGAGCCAGTCGCCATCACTCCAGAATTAGCCAGCCGCGCCATACACCTGCTGCGACATTCCCTAGGAAACCTTGATTCGCAAATCCTGTAGATTTCATCGTTCCGCGCCACGCGTGCTGCGCTAGCAGCCAGGGAAGCATTCTTGCAAGCTGCCAGCTGGCAAGCTGCATTTATGTGGATATTAATCCAGTCTTGAGGCTCCTCGTTGTTTCCGGTCGCCGCGGCTTTCAGACAAAACAATTACGCCATCTGGCCAAACCTCCAACTTCTGTCCAGAAGAATTAGTCGATTTGATTATTCGCACCGCCAACAAGCAGCATTCTACCTACGGACCTCCCTCTTTCCGTAACAGACGTCCCACCTGTTTCCCGTCCTACTTCGTCGCCTCTCTCCGTGCGATTCTCCTGTCCTAGAAAGTCGACTTCAGTTCTATGAGGAGTCGTTTGGGAATATTGTGACGTCAGCCTGTGATTACGCCACGTCATGCAAGGTTCAGGTGCCATGACAGCTCACCCAGGATCGCCTTTCAGTGGTTGTCGCGTAGTATCTCCCTTAACGAGAAATACCGTCCACACATCGCGCTCGTTACTCACGGAGGGTAGTTCGACGTTTATCCGATGGTCTCAATCCCATCCCCGTTATAGGACGTTTCGTCACACGAGAACGTCACAGTACGTTAACCCGAGGAAGTTAAATTCCCGGTGCCAGGCTGGCTCTGACAGCTCAAGTGGTAATAAAGGAACGAATGACCGGGAAGACAGCGACAGCAAGAGACGGATAGACGCTGACGAGGCGAGGGAGCAGCAAGACGGGTTAATTATTGAGGAGAGACGCGCGAATGCGTCTATACGGAGGTAAATGGATCCGGATGGTTCTTTCCCCCAGGCTAGTATCAGATAAATGCAATTGGGCCTAGGTAGAGAATGTATTTAGCGGTAACCAATTTCGAGGGTGTATCAGACGTAACTAACCATATTCGAGAATCTATCAGTAATCAACCTTCGTCCAAGGATCTACCAGGTAACTATTTCCCCACAATTTATCAGTGGGGACCGATTTCCCTCCTAGCATTCTGGACCGCATACCCCACTCACCCGAATTTCTCCCCCTAAGTCCCGTTTGTCCCGTTAACCCCAAACTCTTGGTGTCTCGCAAAACGTGCTATTTCACTCCTTCCTCGTATCCCATCTCCTCATTCTCTATCTTCAGCCATGGTTATTCCGCAACCCGTTCCTTTTTCTTCCTCTCTCCTTCCTCCCTCACACCTCACTCACCCCTTCTCTCTGCTAGTGCTGCTTCTCATTTGCCTCTGTTCTTTCTTCCTTCCCTCCCTCCCTCGCCCACACCACGCTCAACCTTGCTTCCGCTCCCTGTTTCCTTACTCCCCCTTCGCAGGTATCGCATCAGCCTGTCTGAAGGAGCTGTGAGCGTTGTAGAACCCCCTTCGTCTTCCATCCCCCCTGCTGCTCCTGGTGCTTCTAACGAGGATGACAATAACGGAGGCAGGACTGACCCAGCCCGTAGCGGCCGGTTTGACTCCGTGGTCCAGTCGGCAAAGAATTTCTTCCTGCCCGCTGGATACCCGGGCAGCCTGACCAGTGACTACACAAGCTACATGTAAGATCCCAACTCTACCCTCGCTCCGTCCGTGCCCTCTAAGGTAGCCCTCTTTCTCGTAACCCACTTCCCTCCCTTCCCCCCAACCTCCCACACCCCCCACCCGCCCCGCCCCACTTCCCTCCTCCCCCCACTGTCCGCTTCATCCCATCTCCCTGCCTTACCTCTTCTCCATCCCCCTCCCTTCTCCCCCCCTCTCCGTCCCTCCCTTCTCCTCTCCTCTCCTCCCCCTTTCCCTCCCTTTCCCATCATCCTCTGGCAATTCCCGGTGCACATAACGGGGCGGGCCTCGTGACTCGTCAGCCCTTGCTGTTGGGAGACGTCTCAAAGGTCCTTCCATCCCTCCCTCCCTCCCTTTCCCATCAGGCTATGGCAATTCCCGGTGCACGTGTGTCATTACCTAGAGACGTCTCAAACATTTTCCCTTCCCTCCCTCCCTTCTCCCTTTTCCACCAGGCTATGGCAATTCCCGGTGCACATAACAGGGTGGGCGTCCTCAACCCTCGTCACATCCACGCTGCTGCAAGCAGTTGGAGTCGGATCGCTCGTTAAAGCCACAGCCACTGCTGCTGCCGGCACCGCCGCTGCCTCTGGTGGTGCTGCTGCTACTGGCGCTGCTGCTGGTGCCGTTGCTGGTGGTACGGCTGGTACAGTCGCAGCAGGAGCAGCAACCCTCGCAACCTCAGCAGCAGCAGCAGCAGCCGCCCTCCCCGCCGTAGACCCCGCTTCTGCCGCCGCCGCCACTGCCGCCATCAAATGGGTGGCTAAGGACGGCATAGGCGCGGTCGGCCGCCTCCTCGTGGGCGGCAGGTTCGGCAGCATCTTCGACGAGGATCCGAAGCAGTGGAGGTTCGTCGCGGACCTCATCGGCTCGTCCGGGGCAATCTTCGAACTCGCAACCCCCCTCGCGCCGACCCACTTCCTCCTCCTCGCATCCCTCGGAAACCTCACAAAAGCAGTTGCGAAAGGGCTCAAAGACCCGTCGGCTAGGGTTATCCAGACGCACTTTGCCCTGCAGGCGAATGTGGGGGAGGTGGTGGCGAAGGAGGAGGTGTATAAGGTGATGGCGCAGCTGGTGGGGCTGGGCTGTGGCGTGCTGCTGCTCAGCTCGCCCTACATTGCCGAGTCATATTGGAGCCTCGTCACCACGTGGGCTGTGATTCGCTCCACTCACTTGGCGTTCCGGTTCAAGTCGCTTTCTGTGCTCGAGTTTGACTCTGTGAGTTGCGGTTGCGTGTCTGAAGGGGAAAGGGGAGAATCGTATTGGAGCCTGGTGACCACGTGGGCTGTGATTCGCTCCACTCACTAGGCGTTCCGGTTCAAGTCGCTTTCTGTGCTCGAGTTTGACTCTGTGAGTTGCGGTTGCGTGTCTGAAGGGGAAAGGGGAGAGTCGTATTGGAGCCTGGTGACCACGTGGGCTGTGATTCGCTCCACTCACTTGGCGTTCCGGTTCAAGTCGCTTTCTGTGCTCGAGTTTGACTCTGTGAGTTGCGGTTGCGTGTCTGAAGGGGAACGGGGAGAGTCGTATTGGAGCCTGGTCACCACGTGGGCTGTGATTCGCTCCACTCACCTCGCTTTTCGGTTCAAGTCGCTCTCCGTGTTCGAGTTTGACTCGGTGAGTAGCGTGTGTCCGGAAGGGTGAGCGGAGTGCGGGGCTCGTTGCTGGGGTATGGCGTGTTTTGAGACGTCTCATGAGCGGAGTGCGGGGCTCGTTGCTGGGGTATGGCGTGTTTTGAGACGTCTCATGAGCGGAGTGCGGGGCTCGTTGCTGGGGTATGGCGTGTTTTGAGACGTCTCATGAGCGGAGTGCAGGGCTCGTTGCTGGGGTATGGCGTGGTGCTGCTGGGTTCTCCGGGCATTGCCGAGTCGTATTGGAGCCTCATCACCACGTGGGCTGTGCTGCGGTCCTCTCACTAGGCCTCATAGTGTATTCAAGTCTCTCTCTCTCTCTGCTCGATTTTGACCTAATGAATTGTTGACTTGAGGGGGTGAGTGGAGTGCGGGCCTCATGGCTGGGGTGTGGCGTGGTGCTGCTGGGTTCGCCCTACATCGCCGAGTCTTGTCGCGTAGAAACAATAGCACTTTTTTTTTTTGTAACTCTGCGACCTGCCTTTCCCCCTCTTCTTTTCCCCTTTCCCCCTTGGCGGCAGAGCTGCCCTCTGTGCAACCAGTCAATTGACAGGCACGAGCGCCTTTGTTTTTCCCACCAGCCTCACCGACCGACCACTTTCTCCCCTCTACTTCCCCTCAGCTGAGCTTCAAGCGCACAGCCATCCCTGCCAGAACGCATATCTCAGGAGCTGCAGAGCTGCCCTCCATGCAAGCAGTCAACCGGAGGGAGCACTTCCGGCTTCCCCGCCGCCTCACGTCCATTCCCATCCTTCAACACTCCATCTTCCCCCCCTCTAACCTTCAGCTGAATTTCAAGCGCATGTCCATCCTTGCCCGAGCGCACGTCTCAGGGGCAACAGAGCTGCCCTCTGTGCAGGCAGTGAACCAGAAGGAGCGCCTCTGGCTGCCTCGCCGACTGACCTCTCCTCGCATCAACCTCGGCTGCTCCCTTGCTGACTTGTCCGTCCTGCTTGAACAACAGTCAGCCAATCGAATGGTACGGACTCAGCTGTTGAGGTGCCTCACTTATAGACTGACAGGAACGCCTCTAGCTCAGGGGCTGCAACGCTGCCCTCAGTGCAGGCAGTCAACCAGAAGGAGCGCCTCTGGCTGCCTCGCCGCCTCACGTCCCCTCGCATCAACCTTGGTTGCTCCCTTGCTGACTTGTCCGCGCTGCTTGAACAACAATCGGCCAAACGAATAGTGAGATTTTCTGTTGTTGGAGGAGGGAGGGAGGCGGGAGGGAGGACGGAGGGGAGTGGGGGGGAGAGGGGGGGGGGGCTGCTGTTCGTCTGTTTATCTCTGCCTGGTGGTCTCTTCATTTTCAGACTCTCCTTGTCTCATTCTCACGCAATCGCATACCTCGTCAACAGTCTCTTCTCACGCAATCGCATACCTCCAGCCAGTCACTACACCAGGCGAGCAGGATCTATGACTTTTGAGACGTCTCAAATGTAGCTCGGGGAGGAGGAGTACCCGCCTCAGTCCTTTTGAGTTGTCGCAAAGAAAAGTACTCTGGAGAAGCAATAAGCAACCCTTACCCGCCTCAGTCCTTTCCGTTGCATCTCTCCCTCTCCCTCTCGATGTTATCCCTTGTCTCTAAACTGCGTCCACGTGTCATCTTCCAGCCAATCACGGAGCTCCTGGCACTGTATCGAGACGAGCAGCATGTGCTTCTAATGGATGATACCGGTGCATTTTCTGTCATCTTCAAGGTACCCTATCTTGCTTTGAAACGTCTCAAAACGTGTTTTCTGTCATCTTATCTTACTTTGAGACGTCTTCAAACGTCTTTTCTGTCATCTTATCTTGCTTTGAGATGTCTCCAAACGTTTTTTCTGCCATTTTCAAGGTGCCCTATCTTGCTTCTTCTCCTCCCCTGTCCCCGCTCTCTTCCCTTTCTCTCCTTCAGCCTAGCCGTTGCTTGCTCTCCCTCTTCCGTTACTGCATTACAGCCTCTTCCATTGCAGCCTAGCCGTTGCTTGCACCTCCTATACTCAGTCCAACCCCCTATTCTCTCCACTTTTCCGTAATCCTAACCACGTACCACCTTCCCCGCTTCACCCTCTCACCCAACCCCCTTTCCACTCATCGTTTTTCTACTCCCCCTCCTCTCTCTACTATCCTCCACGAATGTCGGCAGCAAGGAGCATCAAAGGGGACGGTTCTGAGGGTGGTGTGGCAGGCGTGCTGGCTGCAGCAGCAGAGGAGGGAGAGAAGAAGGGAGCATGGGGCAGATGGGGAGGAGGTCCACTCTGATTTGGCTGACAGAAGCGGCGGCAGCAGAAGTGGTGGCGTTGGCAATAGCAGCAGCAGCAGTGGTGGCATTGGCATTCTTCAAGAGTCTCTGAACGCGCTAGGCAGTGAGTTTGAGGGGTTTCTTGGCAAGGCATCCACTGCTGGGTGGGACACCAACACTCTCGTGGCAAAGGTGCCGCCCTCCGCCCCTCTGCTCATGCTGTAATTCGGAGCTGCCTGGCTGCGGGGCATAATTGGTGTTTTGCAAGCCTCTCTACATGCGCTAGGCAGGGAGTATGAGGGGTTCCTCGCCCAGGAGACCGCTGCAGGGTGGGACACCAACACTCTCCTGGCAAAGGTGCCGCCCTCCGCCCCTCTGCTCATGCTGTGATCCCAAATGGCCTCGTGGTCTCGCTCGCTGCTGTTCCTCTCAGCAGGAGTTTGAGGGCTTCCTTGCCAAGGCAGCTGCTGCAGGGTGGAACACCAACACACTGGTAGCCAAGGTGCCTCCTTCTGCCCCTCTGCTCTGTAAGGCTGCAATCGCCAGGAGTTGCCACGGTAGACTTGCTGCTGTGTCTTGGATGACTTTACCTGCTGCTGTTATCAGGTAACAGGGCAAGCTTGATGGGCCATATGACGAAGCATTGCCGCAGCAGCAAAATTGAAGTTTTTGTGTAACCAGCCACGGCTGGGAGAGTAGAGCCACTATACTTGTTTATTCAATGCCTTACATTATGTAATTTAATTCATTGGAACATTGACTAGCCTTGAAATAATATAGCAGGACTACTGTACTACACATGATTCTTCAACTCTAACCATACTGGACGGGGGGAGGGGGGGAAATGAGGCTGACTGTACTACCATGTTCAGGCGACCTAAAAAACAAAGATAAACGGAAAGCAACCTTTCCTTCCCAGTATTCTTAGAGCCTCTAGGCAAACCAACTTCTACGAAAATAACTAGGCAGACTACAGCTTACAGCTAAGATGTGTGGACACGTAGGTGTACCATCAACAGCCGTATCACGTCTCATCCTGCATATCACAGGACAGGAGAGGACTGCGTCACTGCGCATGACCATGTGACTTTTGAGTCGACTCAAAAGACAGGACAGGAGAGGGCTGCGTCACTGCGCATGACCATCAACTAGCTATGTCTGCAGCATTCAACAGCAATCACCAGCACCACAGCCAACAGCAGTCAACAGTTCACCACGGTCCATGGCGGTAGACATCTGTCAATGGAGGTGAAGATGGCTTCTAGTCTCTCCACTGATGCGTACAGCCGCCCCACAGCAGGTCAACAGCAGTTCACCACGGTCAAAAGCAGCCAACAGCGGTCAACAGCAGTGAACGTCAGTCAATGGAGGTGAAGATGGCTTCTAGTCTCTCCACTGACGCGTACAGCCGCCCCACATTCAGCCCCAGAATAGGTTCCCCTGTGCCCAAGGCTCTGATGATGGGGAGAGTTATTTGAGACATGAGGGGGCATGAGATACAAGAGAGGAAATAGACATGAGGGGAGAGTGAGGGCACAAACTCAGCCCTAGAATGGGCTCCCCTCCCCCGTACCCAGCGCTCCGGTGATGGGTGCGACTTTTGAGAATTCTCATAAGTCACACCAATTGGGCTCCCCTACCCAGTATCCAGTGCTCCGAGGAGAGGGGCAACAGAAGAAAGAGGAAAAGAGGGAGGTGGTTCTTGAGGGTTTTCAAAAACTAGAAGGGGCTCTGCTCTCCCGTAGACGACTTTTGAGACGTCTCAAAAGAAGGGGCTCTGCTCTCCCGTACCCAGCGCTCCAGTGATGGGGACAGGGACAACAGAAGACAGAGGAAAGGAGAACGATACACAGAGCGAAATAACCAAGAAGAGTGCTTGAACAAGCCCTGTAAGACTCACCCATGCATGTCAGGCAGCACGCATTCGGCATTCCACCCCACGCTCACATCCACCCATGCATGCAGGGCAGCACATGACCTCACCCATGTATGTCATGACAACCATACACCTTCAAGACTCACCCATGCATGTCATGACAATCATACACCTTCAAGACTCACCCATGCATGTCATGACAACCATACAGCTTCAAGACTCACCCATGCATGTCATGACAACCATACATCTTCAAGACTCACCCATGCATGTCATGACAACCATACACCTTCAAGACTCACCCATGCATGTCATGACAACCATACAGCTTCAAGACTCACCCATGCATGTCTGGCAGCACATATTCTGCATTCCACCCCACGCGCACATCCACGCCCGGGCACACAGGCAGGTTGTGCTTATAACGAATCTCCGAGGGCGTGTTCCCATTCAGCGCGGAGGTGAGTTTCCATTTCCACCCTGTTGCGTTGTGCTTGAAGTCATGCCCAATGCCCACCTGTGGGAGACAAGGGGAGAGAGAAAGAGGTTGGGGAGAAGGCTTGAGGGGTGAAATAAGGTGGTCAGGGAGAGAGAGGAGGGGTGAAAAGGAAACTGAGGTGAGTTTCCACTTCCACCCCGTTGCGTTGTGCTTGAAGTCATGCCCTATGCCCTCCTGTGGGAGAGTAGGGGAGGGGTGGGGAGAGAGAAGGGGGGTGGGAAAGGAAAAGGGGGGTGTGGAGGGGGGTGGGAAGGGAGAATGGGGATGGGGAGGGACAAGGGTAATGAAGTGGGGACTTTAGTGAGGTGAGTTATCACTTCCACCCCGTCGCGTTGTGCTTGAAATCGTGCCCAATGCCCACCTGTGGAGGAAAAAGGGCAAGCGCAAGGGGGTGGGTGGGGTGAAGGGTGAGGGATGAGGGTTGAAATAAGGGGGGTGGGAAGGGAGAAAGGGGATGGAATGAGCACGGAGGTCAATTTCCATTTCCACCCCGTCGCGTTGTGCCTGAATTCATGCCCTACGCCCACCTGTGGGAGAGAAGTAGAGAGAGAGGGGTGAGGGGTGAGGGAAGGGTGAGGGGTGAGAGAGGAGGGGGAAAGGGATGGAGGCTTGGGGAGGGGGGGAGAATAGGAGAGTCAAATAAAGGGATGGTATAACAACCCTACAGGTGCCCACTTATCACAGCCACAACTGGCCACACTACACCGTACACCACCTGCATTGCACCACATATCACCGCACTGCACACCTGCAGGTTGAGCAGCCCCATGATGGGGATCTTGCGGGTGAGGAAGCGGATGTCCCCCGCTGAGGCTCAAAGACGACCCTCCAAACCAGCCCCAACCGCACCTGACCGCACTGCACCGCACAGTACCGGACTGCACCATACCGCACCACCTTGCACCGCACTGCACACCTGTAGGTTGAGCAGCCCCATGATGGGAATCTTGCGGGTGAGGAAGCGGATGTCCCCCCGCTGTGGCTCAAAAATCACCTTCCACTTCCGATCCGTGATGTTGGGCTTTAAGACCAACTTCAGGTTCGCGCTGTTCACCTGTTCGCAGAAAAGGGGTGGAGGACAGACAGACATCAGCCTGATTCCACTTGCAGTCCGTAATGTTGGGCTTTAACACCAGCTTCAGGCTCGCAGAGGGTGCAGTGGGGGGTAGCATACAGCGACAACAGTTCACTTGCGGTCCTTGATATTTGGGCTTTAACACCAGCTTCAGGCTCTCGCTGCTCAACTGTAGATAAGAGCGGGTGTAGTGTAATGTTGTGGACAAGAGGCACGGGAGTTTTGAGAATTCTCAAAACAAGGATGCCTTTCCACTTGCGGTTCATGATATTTGGCTTTAACACCAGCTTCAGGTATGCGCTGCTCACCTGGCGATGAGAAAAAAAGGGTGGACGGGCGGCAGCACGGGCCTTGGGGGAGAGGGAGAGGGTGGAGAGCTGGGGGGGTGGGCGGGCGAGCCTACACCCGAGCTTGACGCTGGTGTCGAGCTTGTACTGCAGGAAGCGACTCCCTCCACCCAGCCACCACCCCAATGCTCTCTTCAATGCTCACCTGAAAACCCCATAGGGAGAGTGGGTTGTGCTTGGGCGCAGGAGCCGCCTTGGGCGAGAGGGAAGCAGTGAAAAGCTATGGAGGATCCAGCTTCCGCCGGAGTTCCAAATTGGCCCCGAGCTTGTACTGCATGAAGCGCTGGCGGAACTTGAAGAACACCTCCTTGGGCTTCCAGTCCACCTGGTACATCTCCCCCTCCCCTCCCCTTCCCCCTCCCCCACCCAGGCCCACTCCCCTTCCCCCGTCCACCCCCCTCAATCCCCCGCCCCCTGCCCTCAAATGCTCACCTGGAAACCCCACAGCGACAGCGGGTTGTGCTTGGGCGCAACAGGGGCCTTCGGAGAAAGGGAGGTAGTCGAAAGCTGTGGGGGATCCAGCCTGCGCCTGAGCTCCACGTTGGCCCCGAGCTTGTACTGCATGAAGCGCTGGCGGAACTTAAAGAACACCTCCTTGGGCTTCCAGTCCACCTGATACATCTCCCGCCACCACGCCCACGCCTCCTCCCCCTCCCCCCCCATCCCCTCCGCCTCCCCCGCCACGGATCCCGCTCCGCCCAGACTCCCCCTCCCCTGGCCCCACCCCCCTCCCCCTCCGCCTCCCCATCCGCCTCCGCCTCCGCCTCCCCCGAGCGTCGTCCCTGATAGGCCTGAGGCGTCTGGCTCGTTAGAGTAGGAGGGGCTGATGCGGAGAGGTCCCCCCCTCCGCGCCCCTCCCCCCGCCCCTCCCCCTGCGCCGCTGGCTACCCCAGGGTAGTCCTGCTGCTGCTGGGGAAGGTTAGGGTACTGCGGCTGCTGGTGCGGCTGCTGGTGTGGCTGCTGGTGTGGCTGGTGCTGATGATGGTGGTGGTGGTGACGGTGGTGGTGGTGTTTCGCCCCTGATCCTCGGCTGCGGGATGAAGGGTAGGCTACACCTGCAGATGCAGCTACACCTGCAGCAGCAGCAGTAGCTATGGCAGCAGATGCGCCTGCCCCAGAAGAGCCTGCTCCAGGTACGGGATAGCCAGGCGGGTTGCCTGTAGGCATGTAGCGAGGGTCCTCGGGCTGGGAAATACCCCACAAAAGGACGGGGAAATTGGGAAAAGTGCCACTTTAAAATATTAGTACTCTGGGATATTACTGCGTAGGAACGGCAGGTGGTAGAAGGAGCAAAGGACAGATAGATTATAGAGAGCTGATAGACTGGCCGCTTGGAATCGTCAGTTGGACTCTGTTTTGCCATAACCATTTACTTCAACTGTACAAAAAAACAAAAACACTCTAACCGTGTCATTACCAATAGACCGCATTAGGCATTACTTACCACATAGCTTGACGACGCGCCGGGCCCACCGAACTGGCCATCACGCGGAGTGGAGAAATGAACGTTGTCGTACGTCCGATCCCACTGTTCCCATCTCCGCCCTCCGTTCGTCGTCGCCGTTGATCCAACGGCTGTCGACGCGCCGTACTGCGCTGGTGCGCCGCTGGGAGCTCCGGGAGCTCCCGAACCTGATGTGGAGGTTCGTACAGGATCCGCGCTGGGAAATGGAAAGCGAGGTGCCAGAGGAAACAGCGAAAGCGGGAGGATATTACTAAGAAAAGCAATTCACAGACGACCATCAGGCTGTGAGCATTCGCTCATAAAAAATGACAATGCGTTGTTCGTATGTGACGGTTCGTCGTGTTTTGAGTCGACTCAAAACACATAACCTTTCGTCATTTAACGGCTCGTCATTTGCGGTTTGTCCTAACGGGGTCCTACTCATTATTCAAGTACCTTGACTTATCGCGGAACGAGTCTGCTCGGCTCTCCCAGATGGCCAGTCGGCGTCGCACGCCCCAGCCTCCGTCGGCCATAGTGACTGAGAGTCTCAGTCGGACTTTGACGACACTTTCGCTACGCAGCGGGCGAATGAGAGCGTGCCGAAATAACGATAGGGGGTTGACGGACAGCTAGCTGGAATGACAGGTAAGTGAATGGCCAGCGTCACCAGGTAATAGATAAGAATATTTCAGGCGATGACCAGCTGCTGTCCAGGCAGCAGGTAGCGCACAGCAGGCAGGCAGCACGCCACGCGCCGCACAAAGTGATGAGTGTCTTTCTGGAGCTCCTAAACTTATCATTAGATGTGAGACGTGTCGTACGTTTATTTACCCGAAACATACTTCGTTCTACCACTATTAACCACCGGATTAAATGCTGTATCGTTCAAAACCGTACTCGAATTGTCT